AGTCCTGTTGGGTAAGTTCCAGGTAACTCTTAGAAACCTGTTTTCTTAATGCTGTTAAGCTCCCTTTCTCTCTTAAGACTCCTGGGATTTTCTTAAATCCTTAATTTCTCTTTCAGCAGTGCTAGGATGTGTGGAATTAGGGAGGACTTGAAATTTCCACACCAACTTTAGTGGCTGCTAAAGAGAGTGAGTTAGTGAATACCAGTAACAAAAATTCTCCTTGCAAAACAAACCCAAAACCAAATAAACAAAAGCTCTGAAATGTTCATCCCTGCTGTCAGTGTTTGTTTTTGGGGCAGCAGCCTTTTGCTGTGCTGCAGTAGCAAATTGCAGTCCTGGAATCCCGGAGATTAGAAGCAAGCCCGAGTAGCAGACAGCTGGTGAATGTGTTTTAGAATTGTCCGTTTAACCCAAGGCCACTCCACTGAATGCTTTTTTAGCTATTATATTTTTAGTTAGATGTGTGATATCTTTGGCCTTTCCATAGGCACACGGCCCGTGCGAATTGTAGGTTTCCTCTTGATGGAGCTCTGTGCAGTCTTGAGCTTCTGTTAACTCGCCAGCAGTAGCATACTGGCAATTTCTGATTCAGAAATAGGTCTTCTATAAATGATTTAACATCAGGCCATTGAAATGCGTCTGTGTTTTCCTTCTTAGGGCTATTAAAGATGTAGAGAAAACATTTACCACCAAATTAATGGTTGCATTTTTGTTTTAATCCTGCAGATGGGGTTGATTTATACCTCAAAAAATAAGAGAGGAATTACAGTATTACACAATTTTTCGGTTGCACTTAATTTTTTTTCATGGCAGTATTCAGCTAGATGCTGTCCCTTTAATGCGGTGAGATTTCTTTCTCATTAACCAAAAACGGCTGAGTTTCATCTGGTGTGTATTCCTTGGTCGGTTGAAGTACTTGGCAGGGGTCTGTAGGGATTGGGAAGCTGGGGCTAGGCAGAAGGTGCAGGGGCTCTTCCTCCCATCCCCTGTAGATGCAGAAGCAGAAGGGCAGCAGGCTGCCCATAGTCTCTGGGGGGAGGCAGACCCGGATGAAGAGAAATAAATGGTGCCCTCCTACATGCAGATAGGAGAGAAGAAGGAATTAAATGACAGAGCAGAGATTTTGCACAATAGTGGCTGCTCTGATAAAATCTGGTTGGCTTTCCCTTGAGGGTTATGCAGAGATAAGCAGCCTTAGCTCATTAGCACCTCCCTGTCCTCTTGCTCTCTGATTGCTTTAGGTTTGATGGCAGGTGGTGATGGCAGGGCTTGCTCTGTCTAATCCAGGGGTGCTTGCTGGAAAACCATCCTGGGGCCTCAGATGTTAGCCCCAAGTACTATTTGCTGCAACCGAGATGGGACTCCAGCTCAGTTGATATATTTATGGCTGAACCTTCCTCCTCACCGTGCTTGGTGCTCTTGGTGCATGAAAATAAATGTTAGTATCACCGGACTTAGCTTTTGGACAAATCAGCTTTCTTCTACTCAGTTCCACTAATACAGCTCCTGGAGCAGTGATGGAAATGAGCTTAATTTTTTAACTCTGGAGAGCATGATGGTTGGGTCTTTGAAAACTGATCTGGCAAGTATGAAAGAAAGAGAAGTGATGTTTTTCTTTATACTTTCAAGTTAGGTCACAAATCATAGAATAGTAGAATGGTTTGGGTTGAAAGGGACCTTAAAGACCATCTAGTTCCAACCCCCCTGCCATGGGCAGGGACACCCTCCACTAGACCAGGTTGCTCCAAGCCTCATCCAGCCTGGCCTTGGACCCTTCCAGGGATGGGGCATCCACAGCTTCTCTGGGCAAGTTACTGGGCAAATAGTTACTGAACCATCGCTGTCACTGCAAATGTCAGTTCTCTGAAAGAAATACAAGTTAGATGCGCCCTAGATGTTGCACGTGTAACATAGTTACACTATGTATCTTGTGGCCATCCGTACCCATCCCTACTTGCTGAAACTGGTCTGAGCAATTTCCAGCCCTCAAATGCTTTTCACCACC